TAGTTTTTATTGAAAATTTTTCCATTTAAAAATCTTAGATTAATAAAAAATATTTTTATAATCTTTTACCTGTTTTCAGATGCCATCAGTGAGCGCAATCCTCGCGTGATTGACGACACCCGTGCCAGGAAGTTGGCCAGCGATCTAAAGCGCTGCTCCTACTACGAGACCTGCGCCACCTACGGCCTGAATGTGGAGCGTGTCTTTCAGGATGGTGAGTCCACTCAGTCAATCAATGAAATCACAAGAGTCTAACACATGCTTAACAATTTACAGCCTGTCAAAAGATCCTCTCGCAGCGCCTGCCTTTGCCACCACAGGTGCAACCTGCGAGACCGACAACCCCGCAGGGAAATCGTCTGGGGTTGGCTCCCTACCAGGCACCCACCAATGGACAACGTGGACAACAGCAGTTGCCACTGCGAATGAGCGCGGATTTCGCCCAGGCGGAGCAGAAGCTGTGGTCCCTGCAAGCGACCAGCAGTTCCACTACCAACGAGAACAACAACATCACCAAATACAATCCTGGAGCGGCCAGTTCGCTGCAGGGCGACTGCTCACAGGTGCAGCTGCGGGATCCTCGTGATTTGGCACCACCGCCAGGCAAGGAGCTGCCCACGCCCACCTCGACGCCCACGACGAGCCGCAAGAGCCGGCGGCGCTCCAACCTGTTCATCCCCTCCTCCTCGAAGAAGGCCGACAAAGAGAAGGAGCCGAAGGGCAGCGAGCTGGGCAGTGGACGTTCCATACCCATCAAACAGGGCTACCTGTACAAGCGCTCCAGCAAGTCGTTGAACAAGGAGTGGAAGAAGAAGTACGTGACGCTGTGCGACGATGGCAGGCTCACCTATCATCCTTCACTGCACGACTACATGGACGATGTGCACGGCAAGGAGATCCCGCTGCAGTACGTCACCGTGAAGGTGCCGGGACAGAAGCCTCGTGGCTCCAAGAGCATCATCACGAACAGTGCTCTGACCAGTTCACTGATGGCCAATGGCCAGAGGGCCCAGAACACGTTGAGCGATGGCATCGGCTGTCTCACCCTGGCCAAGGACAATCAGCGCAAGCTGAGCGAGAAGCTATCACTCCTGGGCGCTGGATCCGGAGCAGCTGGCGCCGGCGCTGAGCCGTTGAAGTCGAACAGCTCACAGCAGACGAGCGGGGACGAGGGCATAGCCATGTCCAATTCAAATTCGCAGACTTTCATCGCCGGAGAGGCGGCCAACACGGCCAATAAACTGGAGGCCCAGACGCCGAACGTCAAGAAGCGACATCGCCGCATGAAGAGCAGCAGTGTCAAGGCGAACGAGGCGGACGACAACGATGGCTACGAGTTCTACATTGTTTCGCTGGACTCCAAGCAGTGGCATTTCGAGGCCGCCAATTCGGAGGAGCGCGACGAGTGGGTGGCGGCTGTCGAGCAGGAGATCTTCAAGAGCCTGCAGGGCATCGAGAGCAGCAAGACCAAGCAGGCCACCAGCACCGATCTGGCCGCCATGCTGGCTATTCGACAGAGGGTGCCTGGAAACGGGTTCTGCGTCGACTGTGGAGCGCCAAGTGAGTTTAACTGTAAATTTTCTCTTATTAATGTCTTAACTAACAATTGCGTTATCCATTTTCCAGATCCTGAATGGGCTAGCTTGAACTTGGGCGTACTAATGTGTATTGAATGCTCCGGTGTGCATCGCAATCTTGGCTCGCATATATCCAAGGTTCGATCTTTGGGATTGGATGACTGGCCGTAAGTTTAATAATTTTTTGTCTCCTTAAGATCACACTAACATATTCTTAACGCCCAACCAGATCTCCGCATCTCAGTGTGATGCTGGCCATTGGCAACAGTCTGGCCAACTCCGTCTGGGAGTCGAACACGAGGCAACGGGTCAAGCCCACATCGCAGGCCAGCCGAGAGGAGAAGGAGCGATGGGTGCGCAGCAAGTACGAGGCCAAGGAGTTCCTGACGCCACTTGGCAACGCTTCCTCAGCGCACCCGAGCCCGAGTCCGGGTCAGCAGCTGATCGAGGCTGTGATTAGGGCGGACATCAAGTCGATTGTTTCGATCCTGGCCAATTGCCCGTCTGAGGTGACCAATGCGAATGTGAGCGCCAGGGATGTGCGCACCCCGCTGCTGCTCGCCTGTGCCATAGGCAATCTGGCCATAGCACAACTGCTCATATGGGTAAGTCGAACTAAGACCATAAATATTTCAATTGATGTTAATGAATATTTCTTATTTCAGAATGGCGCCAACATCAAGCACACGGATCACGAAGGACGCACATGCCTGGCCTACGCTCGAGCGGCACAATCTCTGGCCACCGCCAAGTCGATCAAGGCCGCTGCAGCTGCCCAGGCGGGCACCACGATTCCGGCGCCAGCTCCGCCCACAAACGGTGGCATCCCTGCTCCCCAATACAATGTTGAGGACACGACGGCGCTGGTGGAGCTGCTCGAGGGATTGGGCTGCCCAGAGGCGGCTCCCCTGACGGCTAGTGGCACCTTGCCCAGGAGACGCGACACTCTGGGCACGCCCTACGAGAAGTCTGTGTCGGGTGTGATCTGAATTAGTTAAAATTTAATAAGATTTATGTGAATTTTCGTAGCAATTGTACAATTCATTAGATTTTGTTGTTCGTAACGCAATTAGTTTAAAATTGACCGGAAAAATTGTATAGCGTTTAGGGTTTAGGTTTTAGAAATGTTGTGCAAATGTTTTTTACTATTATTATTTGGCAAACGTTGAATGGAAATTCACAAGTTTTATTTACGTTTTTTTTTAGTTTGTTTAGTTTTTAAGCCAAAAAAACCTGTACAGCCTTGTTGTAATCTCAAGTGTATAAATTATTATTTTCGTATTACGTATTACTATTATTATTGTTTTTATCATGAGCAGGTTTTTATATCGTTTGCAAAACAATTATTTAGTAATATTATCTATTAACTCTCGATAACCATCAGCAGATTGCAAAAAGACTTTACGCAAAAAAGAAAAAAACATACTTGTAAACCTCTAACAATAGATAAAGCTGATGCAAAATATACGTATAAAGAAATGAATCTAAGATTAAAGCCAAAAACAAACTTATAATAACAATATACGAAAACATATATATTATATACATACATAGTTGAAATTGCTTGATAATCGGTTAAATCAAATGAACACGCCCAAAATGTAGCTTATGCTGAACCAAACTCACAAAACAACAAAATTCTTTGCTATATAAATTCAGACAAAAAGAAATCGTTCAACGGATTATACTGCAGAAGTAAACATTCTGATGGTATCAAATCTGAGTAGACAAAAATTTAATTGAAAGTATTTCAAAACTATTATACAAAATAGTTATAAATCAATCTATAAATATTACTATATGTATACACCCCCCTATATTGTGTACGCTATTTGTACGGATTACAAACCACACAATGTGACAAACTCAATCTAATTGGAAGGAAAAGTAGCACACAAAACTCACAAAAAAAAACAACAAAAGAAAAACCCTTCAATAAAAATCTATTAAACATTTTAATACTTGTAATTTTAATATAACTATATGGGGTGGATTTATAATATTATTGATAACCTTTGCAGATATTATGATATAGCCATTTCTGTGTGGGCCTCAGTTTCTTTACCATTTGCAAATCTATTTTACAGCAATATTTTTTTTCTCTAAGCCGCTGAGTTTTGAAGCGCACCCACAACTGGACTTCCAAGGTCCAAATCTTAACCGATTCCAAAGTGACATACCTCTAAAGACTTGTGGTTCAATTCTCAAAATTTCGGTGTTTAAATTTATCGTTTTAACGTTTATGCAATTTTTGACCCATTTTCATGTTACTTATTTGTGAGTTTCTGATGACTTGTGAAAAGGGCACCCTCAACTGGACTTCCAAAGTCCATAACTTTGCCAAATCTTAACCGATTTCAAAGTGACATGCTTCTAAAGACTTGTGGATCGATTCTCAAAAAATCTGCATTCAAATTTATTGTTTTAACGTTAATCAAATTTTTGACCCATTTTCATGTTAGTTATTTGTAAGATTCTAATGATATGTAAAAAGGGCACCCTCAACTGGACTTCGAATGTCCATAACTTTTCCAAATATTAACCGATTTCAAAGTTACTTACCTCTAAAGACTCGTGGTTCGATTCTTAAAAAATCTGCATTTAAATTTATCGTTTTAACGTAAATCAAATTTTTGACCCATTTTCATGTTAGTTATTTGTGAGTTTCTGATGATTGGTGAAAAGGGCACCCTCTACTGGACTTCCAAAGTCAATAACTTTACCAAATCTTAACCGATTTCAAAGTGACATACCTCTAAAGACTTGTGGTTCGATTCTGAAAAAATCTGCATTCAAATTTATCGTTTTAACGTTTACGCAATTTTCGACCCATTTTCATGTTAGTTATTTGTGAGTTTTTGATGATTTGTAAAAAGAGCACCCTCAACTGGATTTCGAATATCCATAACTTTTCCAAATCTTAACCGATTTCAAAGTTACATACCTCTAAAGACTCGTGGTTCGATTCTTAAAAAATCTGCATTCAAATTTATCGTTTTAACGTTAATCAAATTTTTGACCCATTTTCATGTTAGTTATTTGTGAGATTCTGATGATATGTAAAAAGGGCACCCTCAACTGGACTTCCAAAGTCAATAACTTTACCAAATCTTAACCGATTTCAAAGTGACATACCTCTAAAGACTTGTGGTTCGATTCTCGAAAAATCTGCATTCAAATTTATCGTTTTAACGTTTACGCAATTTTTGACCCATTTTCATGTTAGTTATTTGTGAGTTTCTGATGATTTTTAAAAAGAGCACCCTCAACTGAATTTCGAATATCCATAACTTTTCCAAATCATAACCGTTTCAAAGTGACATACCTCTAAAGACTTGTGGTTCAATTCTCAAAATTAAGGTACTTATTTCTTCTATCTTGGGGTAATATTTTATTATTCGGCCAGCTTGAAATAAAAAAATATTTGTGGTCGGGCGCTTTATTAATCAAACAAAATCTAACAAGCATTCAATTTTTGAAACATTTAAAATGATGTAGAATTTTGTTTACATATGTGCGGCATTTTTCCTTTATTCTTTATGGGAAATTGCATTGTGTCCCACAAGCGAGACTTTAGTTAAGACTGCATTAAAATGTAAGTTGTTATATATATACCATATATTTTTTTTGTAGAGAAAATCACGCAGATTGCCTAGTCAGAGGCGTGAAAATTTAAATTTACTCTGTCTGCCAAACCGAGAACGAAACACAGCTGCAGAAATGATCAAGAGGCATTGGGTCCACAGTCCAACTCGACGCAGGAAGGGCGAAATCTTGAATACGGATTGGTACATCAAGAAAATAACCGATTAGAAGGCCGATCCATCCTGGTCGGCGTCATTCCGCTCTTCCTCCTCTTGGCTGAAGATCTCTTGCCCGTGAACCGTTCAGACCTAGCCTGCTTTTATCTTGAAAAATTGTTGTTTTTTTTAATGTTTTTTCCTTATTATTTTCTTTTATGTTTCGCTTTTGCCATTTGTCCATTTAACACTAGCTGGGGGGTCGTCATCATTGTAGCCATCGAGTTGAAAGTGAACGATTTTGATTGGTATTTTGTTTTAGTTTGGTCTAAACACAACAAGCAAATTCCTCGCAATGCTGCAGCTGCATAGGCTGGGAATCATGCTCCCACAGATGGTAAAAGTTTCAGTTTTTGTTGGGGGAAACACAGCCACAACCGAGGCTGCAGCAGCGATTGCTGATTTGGTTTTGCCGTCGTCCACGGCTTTCGTTAACTTTGGAACTCCATGTCGATTTGTGGTTGTACAGAGAGAACACGCTCGCACCCTTTTTTAGCTTGCATTGCATCTGGTCTGCAGTTGCCTTTGCCACCTTAGCGCCCGCTACCTTTGCCGCTCCACTTGGGCCCGTTCATTTTTTGTTGGCCTTGAATTTTGCGTAGAAGCTCTGGATCTGGGCATAGCGGACAGGTATTGAGTCCAAGATGCCGGTGTAGCTAAAGTTCTGCTGCTGGCGATTCTTCTCGTGCAGGTTATCGCCAGACAAGTACGTGACGACGCTCTTCTGCAGTTCGCTTACGTGCGGATCGGAATGGTTGGCCACCAGGTGATTGCAGAACTGGGCAATCTGCAGGAAAACCGAGGCGTCACGATCTGAGAGGGGAGGCACAAAACAACACCATTAGTTAGCACATTCTATTGCGATAAAAATTAGCCAAACTCACCCATCTTGCGTGATATCTTGAGCAGGGAAAGCGGCTGACTTTCGTTATCGCGCTGGGCACGCAAGTGCCTATTGCCCTGCTTAAACTCCTGCTCCAGCCAACGGATGACATGACGAACATTTTCGCTGCGTTTCTTCAAGTCATCCAACTCATTGAGCACTAATTGGTATAATAATAAAATAATCGATTAGCATTAAGTTTTTCTCCTTGAGTATAGGTTAATGTGATATGATGGATGCAAAATTAGAAAAGAAATAAAACTGTAATAATTTTAAGAGCAAATTTGCTATAATCTTATCTGAATAATTCACTACTTGCTCGTTTGGAAAGTTATAAAATCCACACAGTGCTCTTAAGAATAACTAATTGGCGCGCATTAAAGAGATTGGCTAGGTATTTCTAAAGTTAAAGTTTCTTTAAGGGGACATTCCATTGTATTGTGCAAAAATTTACTTTCTGCATCGGTGATTTTGTGTCAAACTAATTGACCCACCCTGCGGTAGGCGCACTCACCTGCATTCGGGATGAGGACAATGCACTTCTTGGTCCTCACCAACGACTTGACTATGCCATTGTATTCGGTCAATGCCTTCGAATCGACCACGACGAATGGGGACATCACCACATGGGCGGGACTGTCCCGCAGCTCCTCCTCCAAAGTCTCCACCTCGTTCTGCAGCCAGAGTTTGCCCATGAGCTCACACTTCTTCGACTTGGCCTCCGAGCGCTCCTCATCTGCCCCCGAGCTTGACTGCACATTAAGTTTCTCGATTACGCTGTTTGTGGTTGTGGAGGCGGATGTGCCGCCGGCAACGGAGGTTCCCGTAGCACTAGCTATTACGGCAGCCGCCTTCTCAGCATTGCGATTCCTTAGGTAACCCTTGCGCGGCACCTTTCGGCACTCCTCCACGGTGTCCTTTTCCTCGTTGCTGGTGTAGCTCTTGCGGACAATGCCGTTCTTGCGATCGGAGTAGCGACGAGTGCGTCCTTCGTTCCGCTTTGTTCGGTTGGTTTTCGGTGCGGTGCGACGTTCGCGACGACGGGATCCGCCACCCTTTTTTTCTTCGCGCTGTTTCTTCTTCTGCGTCTCGGTGAAACGGCGCGTCTTAACGCAGAACCTGTAGTTGAACTTCTTCTGTTTGCAAATGAAGAAGCCAAAGTCGACCATTTTGAAAATACGGAGTATAGACTCTTCATGTGGAGTAACGCGCTCCCGGATAATGGTCTCCCAGTCAAGAGTGATCTGGGTGCTCTGGAAGATGTCGAAGTTCTTGAAGGCAAAGTCCTCGGTAAGTGGGACATTGGCCCGCACGTCGAACAGCTCAACAAGCGAATCGCGCACATTGGCGGTGGTCAGAAGCTCGCGCTCGAAGTAAACCTTCCTGGTGAAGACGTCGATGTTGCAGTAGTTGAGCAGCTTCATGATCTTGTGGACAAACTCCGGATTCGAATGGTAGCAGCCGATAAGGATCTCCGGGTTGATGCGAAGCCAGTCGAACAGCATTTTTAGAGCTCTGATTGTCGGCTCATTGTGCAGACAGTCGATGACTATGTTAGGATTGATCTTGGTGTACTTGTTGCGATAAACGAGCTTCTTGGGTGGCTCTGAGAAGCTGACGGGAGCAGGTGGAGCGGCCTGAACGCCCTCTACTGGCTTGGTCTGTGCCTCCTCTGCGCTCTTGAAATTCAGCTGCAGCACCTCAAAACTACGCAGCAACTCCTCGGAGTCCACCTCCTGTGAGTTCGATCTACGCTCTACTTCTTCGGGGTAAACAATTTTCTCCTCCTCAATGACAACGTCCTCGTTGTCGGAGTACACTAAGCCACCTCCTCCGCCGCCGCCGCATTTGCGCTCCTTCTTGCTATATGAAGCTGAAAATAGAATATAAAATGTTTATATAATTTAAACTATTTGTTTAATGAATATAAAGATACTCAGTTAAGATTTAATTACTCTAAATTCCCTAGTAATTTTTATGTAATAAAGATATTGTTTTCTGGTTTAAGGGCTCACCTGCTTCATAGTGCTCCTCGCCGCATGGCTCCCCGGGATCGGCTGCATCGATGTCACTGAAGTCAGTATCGAAATTCGAACTGAGATCTGTGTAATCCTCCTCGTCACTATAGAAGTCCGTATCCAATTCGCTCTCGCTGTCGTAGCAGGAGCTGTCGTCCGACTGGGCGATCTTGCGGCGCCGGCGACGCAGACGCATTCCCCGACGCTTGCTCTTGCAGGAGAGCGGGGTCTTTAGGTCCGACTCTTTGGCCTCATCGCTGGAGCGCGTGGAGACGGCCTCGCCGATCTTGTCGCCGTCAGGTGCCTCCTGGGTCTTTGCCTCCTCGCCGGAGTGCTGGCTATCGCGTGAATCAGAGCTGCAGTCTTTCAGGGAATGCGGCCGCGGCATCAGCTTCTTGTCCTTGCGTTCACATTCGCCTACTGCTGCCAGCCAGTTCTTGTACTCGTTTCGCGACTTTCGAACCACCGTGTCGAACTCCTGGAATCGCTGTTCGTACTCCGTCTGGAATCGTTCGTTGTCCTGGGCGCGGGCCAGGATCGTCTGCTCGATGCTGACGATGCAGGCGTCCATCAGATCGGAGCAGGCAGCCACCAGGAAGGCGTGCAACGAATAGACCTTGGGTGAGTTGATCATCTTTAGCTTCGACAGGCAGAAAAATAGAATTGAGACGATCTTGAAGATACTTGGCTCTGGAACGCGCAGCTGCTGGGAGCAAAGGATCTTGCGAAGATCAATCAGCACGCAGTGGCACAGAGCATTGAAGTCCGGCACCTCCTTGTCGAAGAAGAAAATGTCCACGATGAGATAAAACCGGGCGAAAAAGTCCTCGATGCTAAAGTCCAGCTTCTCCGGATCCATCTGCTCCAGGTATTCGGTGTGCTTGCCGAACAGCTTGTTTAGATTATTTTCGCTTAGTTCAAAGGGTATGATGCACACGAGGGAGTACAAGTAATGGTACGTGGAGTCCAGGTCGTGATTCTGGCCGTAGTACAGTGTTCCCAACTGGTTCTGTGCCATTCCAATGGCCGGATTGAGCTTAAAGGCTTCCAGATAGTACTTTGCCACCTGCTCCTTGCTGATACTCAACTTGCTATCAATGCGGAAATCAATGAAATAGCGATGTAGATCGCCTAGGCTAAGCAGCGAGGAGTGTATGGTGTCGAGAGCAAAGGAAACCGCCTCCAGGCTCTTGTCCACTGCCTGAGTGCCCGAATGCGACGCCTCCTTGGTATCCCCGATCATGTCGCTTATGTAGCCATCACTGATGATGGAGAAATCAATCAAATACTTAAGATCCAGGTCGTAGATCTCCTCCATGCGGGCCGACAATCTCTTGTAGTTAAAGATCCCGGCGCAGAGGAATCGCTCCAGCCTCTGCATGTTCTCCTGGGCGGTGGCCGCATCCTGGCCCTGCTTGTGCCAGCTTTTCTTGACGAAGGCGATGAACTCGTAGTAGCCACGTCGCCACATTACCTCGCGCACCTTCTTGCCCACCGACTGATAGTCCTTGAAGATGATCTGCTTGCACAGCTGTACCAGCAGCGACCGCTTCTCCTCGATCTCGTGCTGGAAAAGTTGGCCCACGGTCTGGACATTCTTCTTGGCATCGTCCAGTTGCTTCGAGGCGGTGTAAAGAGATCTGTAGGAGAGATAAAATATGGGATTTAGTGGTTTCTTCTTCTGCAGAGTTGGTTGCAAGTACAGCCATTGCTCCGTTTACAAAGGCATTTTCTTACCTGTACAGATCCTTTACCTCCTGGCTGAGAGTACAGGTTCCATTATTGGGCTCCAAGGCCCGACAGCGATTCGTCCCGCCGTCCATGGCGCACTCGCTGGAGGCATTTGATCCTCCTGAGCTGAGTGTCGCCTCCATTTCGAGAGGTACTGAAAAGTAAAGGTGAAAAATATTAATACACACACAGCTGGTTTTTCCACAGCTGGCAACTCTGCTGCGAGATAAACAAAAAAAACACCCACTAGATGCCCGATTCCTCCAGCTGTTTCTCGAATTCCCCCGATTTTTTGCTGACGAATTGTTTTTCGAAATAAATTTCTTTACTTTATTTTACGGCTTTGTTTTTGTTTCAACTGGTGACGCACACGAACACATGCGCGTTGTTTTTCAGTGTGCGAGAGTGTATGTATAATGGCGTAGTTTCGTTTTATTGAATAATCAATTAAACACACACACACACTTCGTATTTTCTCGATGCTCTGGTATTTTCAATACTGCAACTGCGATTGCGAAACAACCGATGTAATGCACTTTTGACAGCTGCACTCAGGTAGAATCAAAATACTGTTTTACCTGCGCGATTTGCATTACCTTTTATTCGATTCAGTTTCAGTTGTGTTGTGCGTGGTTTTGCAAATTTCACGTTTTCGCTCTTCCTTTGTTGAACAACAAAATGGCGCTTACACGTTCAGACTGCGCAGCAGGAATGCTCCGCTCGCGATGAATGATGGAATGCTATCGACAGCTTGGTTTCGGCTTCTCGAACGAAGGAAAAATGATACCAACTCTTATGTATATAAGTATAAAGTCTAAACAAATATATTAAAAATAAAATAATATTTTCTTAAAATTGTTCTCACATCCTTAATAAATGTTACACATCTGACGTGAAAATAGCCAAATCGGCAGCAAGTCTTTCGATAAATCGAAAACGGCTTCGATGACTGCTGTGTATCGATTGTTTTAAGATTGGCGGGGATTTTAAATAACATTTCGAAGGCTGCATTTCTTATTTGAAAACCAGACAGATTTTTGGTTATTATTCTATTCTTTGTGCAATATTAAATTACAAGCAATACAATAACATATCTAAATTCGTATGTTTAATAAAATAAATCAGCTGCGTTTTCAAATGGTAGAACAGAAAAATCATAAATAAAAAAGTACTATTCATATTTGATTTATATTGAAAATACAAATATCTACAACAAGTAGATATATATATAGTCTGATGGCAAACGGTTTCGAGGACTTTTGGTTGGAAATAAAGAATGGTTTAAATTCGTTCTTGGTATAAAAAAGAAGACTCAGGCCAAGCAATTCCAAAAAATGTAAGCGATGTGTTGGTTAAGACAATAAACCCAAGTACATAAAGACTTTGTTGGGGATTAGTCGTCTAAAAGGTTCTCCAAACAGGAGCTTAAGGGCATCGCTGAAATCCAATCTACCCAAGCAACCTCAAATGGGCATACTGCCTCCAGCCGGTGCACTCCGAGTGGTAATTGTAGAGCGGTGTACTGAGTGCGTTCTCCAAGTAGGCAATTGACGCCATCAAATTGTTTCTCTATTACCAAGTCAACTGGGGAAAAAAATAATTTTATATTCCCAATAGGCATCATGCGCCTCACATATAATTCCATGTCCTCGTTTATAATTCTATGCGGTATCCGTAGACCATTGGGGGAATTACACAGCAACATGGCTTTGGTGCCCGTTGTGCTGAAGGTAACATTTTCAGAAACGAGATTTGGAACGAGTGTCTGCAAGGTGTTTAGCCATGGGGTTAAAAGCCGGGCATCCCTGTCGAGATCATCAGGCGAATATAGTTCAGGAATTATCTCGGAGGCATTCATCAGGACATTGTCCATCCAAATGGCTCCTGGAATCGCATTGGCCTGCTCAAAGTTCATCCTGTACAACAAAGGAGTTCGTGGTGAAGCCAGCGCCACTACGGTTCTGCGAAGATTGGAAAAGATTACATTCTCTGCACGCGGGATGAAGTGCCCTTTGGTGTCATGTCTATCGGCTGAAAAAACCGGTAGGTAGGTGACATCATTGACCTGCAATATGCCCACGGAATCAATCAGTTTTCTAAGGAGCTTCGGCAGTTGGATGCGTCGATTGGTGGATTCGAAATTTGGATCAACCTGCAGATGTGCGACGTGCTCCATAAATCGGCTATTCGCTGGGAAAGCCTCCATCACCCGCCGTAACTTGGCTTCAAGAGCAGCCAGGCTAACGCGATATAGAGCATATATATCCGGTATCCCTAAGATCCGAGAATACGAGACTCCATAACACACACTCGCTGCCAGATTAAAGCCTATGCCTCGACTTGATATGCTGAGCATTTGTGCCCATTTTATCATGTCATTCTTGCCACGTCCAGTCTGATTGCCTTGGGCTTCGAAAGAATCTTCCATTTCGAAACGTTGAAAAATACAATTAGTGGACAGGTTAAAATGATAAACATTAGATTTCATCCAATACTTTTTAGTGTTAGTAAGCCAGCTTTCGATGACAGCGATGTATCGATTGTTTTGTAGTCGGCGGGTTTTTTAAATTCTATTCTAACTGGGAGAATTGTTTAACTTGGAACTGTGTGGAAAATGGTTTGTACTTTTAATCATGGTATATTTATTTATTTATTGTAAACACAAAAGTTGCAAGCTAAAAGTTTAAAGTTTAATAATACTAAAGGTAATATTCAACCGTCTAAAAGGTGTCATACAAATGTTTTTAATATGTTCCCTTGCATAATAAATTGGATTAAAATAACGTTTTTGTTTTTTTTATTTTAATGAATGGTTGCTTTCTTTATGATAATAAGCCCCTAAATAATAATTTCTAAAAAAATGTCAGGTAATATTAAAATATTACAATCAAAAAAACACAAAAGAAAAAACATCTATGCTAAATATATGAGTAAAAAAAAAACATTAGTAAATAATCAAAGAATGGAAGAGCATTTATGTATCCCAACGGAGGATTCATGCACATTAGTTTATTTTCATGTACAAAATTATCACCTCTTTTTGTCAATTCACTTTTTACAGGCGCCTTCAATATTTGCCAATAAAGCCGCCAAATGTGAAGAAATGTTTCAGGCATATTAATGATCTTCCATATGTCGGCTTATCGTCGTTTCTACCTGGCCGAGAACCTCCACTCCGCCTGGAGACCTCAGCTGCGGCTAAGCCGAGCTCGCATTAAAAATAAATAATGCTCTCGTTTATCAGCCATTTCTCTCGGCGACATCGAGTCGTTTGGTCACTCGATTATCGTTGGGACTGTCGTGTCCCTCGACTGTGTGTCACACTAAAAAAAACTCTTAGGCTCTGCCTAAACTATTGATTTATAATATTTTCAAATAATTAAGAATCATTTAAAATGTCTTTATCGTTCGTTTTATTAATTTTTATTGTAGAAAAGTTCCCTAAAAGTGAAAAGAATTCCCACATTTCATTTGTTTCTTTTTTTACCTAACAATAAGTAAACAATAAATAAATATTATAAATATCTTTAAAGGGAAGATTTCGTTTTCTCAGCATGTTTAATCATACGTAAAATTTAAATCACTATCGTTTGCTCAATTTGTTATGCCACAAATGCCTTTCGAGATAAGAAACGCCAATAGTATGAAAAACACAAAGTCCCAAAAGGTTTTTGAAATGGGGGCACGTTTGCTCTAGGGAGGCACGAGAAGAAAGAAAAAAAAATTAATCAAATTATTTCTTCTTAAATATCTAAATGTTTTGTGCACAGAAAGAAAATCATTTACAACGGTAGAAATATTATAATATTATTTTTGTATGAATTTAATATTTTTTAAAGTGCACTTTGCCGGCCAATTCTCCGGTGGCTTCCCTGCTCTTGGCTATAAAACTCACGCAATGTTACTCAAGCGTTCTCAGTTTTAGTTCGGACTTCAGCTGCATCGGTCACGTTCGATACGTTGGGAAAATATCGTCGGACACAACGTAAGTTTCTCTTTCGCTTTGGGATTTGGAGAACTTGAAACAAGTCGTTCCCCTTTAGTAACCTTTAATTGGGATCGTTATTGCAACTTGCAATTGATTTGCTCATTATGATATAATTACTTAGCTAAGTTGTTTGCGGCTTATGGCTGTCAATGTAATAAAAGTTCGATTTCACTAGTCACTAAATCCCTTGATAATCTTATCTGGATCACACAATACACGTCTTGGATCCAATATTATTTGCCGCAGTCATTTCGGTGGACATGGTCATAAATTCTTAAATATCTCACACACTTTCGCGGTTATTAGTAGTTCTAATCGGGGTTATTTATGATCTTGATACGCATCTGTGTATAGTTTATCCCTAATAAACCTGCCAAAGGCCCATGATGTTTGTTTAGGCTACATTCAAGAAACATTATATAGAGATACATTATATAAAGATATTAAATTGTACAAATGTACTTTTCTAGCAAGTTTACTTCTTATACTTATGTACTTTATAGTTTGATTTTATATCTGATTACCAAAAGCCAATCAATGGAAATATCTTATCTCTTATTGGCTTACTTGTCCAGCTCAAGTATTTTCCAGTGAATTATAAAGATTCCTCACGTTCACTGCAGTTCTATAGTATACAGCGTGTCGATCTGACCCCAGAGTCATCCGAAAATGAGACATTTTAATCAATTACGCGAGTGACTTGATCTCGACACACTGAAAGATCGGCGACGTCATCGAATTGGCATAACAACATGTGTCGTAGAATTGGATCGTGTCTAATCAAAATTCAAAAATGCTTACTATAATTTCCAGGCGAGAAAGTCGGAGCTCAATATGAGACTGTTTCTTGTAGTACTACTGGCTACTTTGGCGGTGAGTTTTAGAAGGCATCAAATGGGTCATGACAACGACAGTGATCCTCTCTGGTTTTCAGCTGTCGCAGCCCTTGGTCAAGGAGGAAATTCTGGCTAAGGAGTATCTGGAAAATCTTAACAAGGAGATTGCCAAGCGAACCAATGTCGAAACCGAGGCCGCCTGGGCATATGGATCCAACATCACCGATGCGAATGAGAAGAAAAAGAATGAAGTGTCCGCCGAGTTGGCCAAGTTCATGAAGGAGGTGGCCAGTGACACCAACAGGTTCCAGTGGCGCAGCTTCCAATCGGAGGACCTCAAGCGCCAGTTCAAGGCGTTGACCAAACTTGGATATGCGGCACTGCCAGAAGCCGATTACGCCGAATTCCTGGAAACGGTCTCCGCCATGGAGTCGAACTTCGCCAAGGTCAAGGTCTGCGACTTCAAGGACAAGACCAAGTGCGACCTGGCCCTAGATCCGGACATCGAGGACGTGTTCAGCAAAAGCCGTGACCACGAGGAACTGGCCTACTACTGGCGCGAGTTCTACGACAAGGCCGGAACCGCCGTGCGATCCCAATTCGAGCGCTACGTGGAGCTGAATACTAAGGCAGCCAAACTGAACAGTAAGTTTACCCATTTATCAAAACGATCGAATGCTTATTTCGGTCACAAGTTTTTCAATACTAGGTACGAATATGCCTTATATAACTCAATAGGAGGTGGATACATTTTTCTTAGTTTTTACCCATTTATCAAAACGATTCGACAAGTTTTGCAGTCTGTATTTTCCCTTTACTAAATGGTTTTTTGAACTTACTGTCCATATTTAATGTGTGCTCATAATTGTCAATGCTAGTTCGTTGCTTATTACTGAGAAAATAAATGTAAAGCGAGACTATAAAAAATAAACAACATATTTCACTCAAAATATTGACGACTTTATTTGAATGTGAAATATATTACAAAATATTTACGTTTAATGAGAAACAGTTGAAATACCATAATAATACATAAAATAAATTGAAAGTTGCATTCTTAAGTCATTTTTAAATATACTCCCTTTCATATTTCGGTAGGTGTTACCTAATAATTGCAAAGCTATTTGTCATGAAAACCCTATTTAAATGAAGATAACTAATTACAGTTCAGTTTTTGTGAAAAGTAGTTTTAAAACTGTGCGCTTCAATTTTTCACTTGCTGATAAAATTTAATTGCTCTGTAATTTATAAAGAAAAAAGATTTTGGATTTGTATGACTATTAAAAATTAATTATCTGCTTAAAAAGTGCACTTTCTGTAATCGTAATAAGCCGTATGTCAGTCAGCCTAAAGACTGGAATTTGTAATACAACCTAATCCAAATATTGAAAGTATCTAAATCTAATAATACTTTTTCCACCAGACTTTACCTCTGGGGCCGAGTCGTGGTTGGATGAGTACGAGGACGAGACTTTCGAGCAGCAGTTGGAGGACATCTTCGCCGAGATTCGTCCGCTGTACCAGCAGATCCATGGATATGTGCGCTACCGCCTGCGACAGCACTATGGTGAATCTGTGGTCTCTGAGAAGGGACCCATTCCCATGCACCTTTTGGGAAATATGTGGGCGCAGCAGTGGTCCGAGATCGGAGACATTGTATCGCCATTCCCCGACAAACCCGTCGTCGATGTGAGTGAAGAGATGGAGAAGCAGGGACTCACTGCTTTAAAGATGTTCCAAATGGGCGATGAATTCTTCACGTCCATGAACCTCACCAAGCTGCCGCAGTAAGTAGATAATGAAGGCTTCTAAGGAATCGGAGCTTACTGGATTTATTTTGATTTCATTTAGGGACTTCTGGGACAAGTCGATCATTGAGAAGCCCACCGATGGTCGGGATCTCGTTTGCCACGCCAGTGCCTGGGACTTTTACCTGACCGACGATGTGCGCATCAAGCAGTGCACCCGAGTAAACCAGGGTCAGCTCTTCACCGTCCACCACGAACTGGGCCACATTCAGTATTTCCTGCAGTATCAGCACCAGCCGTTTATCTACCGCACTGGTGCCAATCCCGGATTCCATGAGGCCGTCGGCGATGTCCTCTCCCTGTCCGTGTCTACCCCCAAGCATCTGCAGAAGATTGGCCTGCTGAAGGACTATGTTCGCGATGAGGAGGCTCGCATCAACCAGCTGTTCCTCACCGCCCTCGACAAGATCGTATTCCTGCCCTTCGCCTTCACCATGGACAAGTATCGCTGGTCGCTGTTCCGCGGTGAGGTCGATAAGGCCAACTGGAACTGCGCCTTCTGGAAGTTGAGGGATGAGTACTCCGGCATCGAGCCACCAGTGGTGCGCAGCGAGAAGGACTTTGATGCCCCGGCCAAATATCACGTATCCGCAGATGTCGAGTACCTAAGGTTGGTCTTAGTTGTTTTTAACTTAATTCTATATTTAATTTGTATTGTTAATAATTTTCAGGTACCTGGTCTCCTTCATCATCCAGTTCCAGTTCTACAAGTCCGCTTGCATCAAGGCTGGCCAGTATGATGCCACCAATCCGGAACTGCCCCTGGATAACTGTGATATCTACGGAAGTGCTGCAGCTGGTGCTGCTTTCCAGTAAGTCTTGGGAAATATGTGTTTAGAAAGTATTTTATAAATATATAATTTTAACCCCCAGCAACATGCTGTCCATGGGCGCCTCAAAGCCGTGGCCCGATGCACTGGAAGCCTTTAATGGAGAACGCACCATGACTGGAAAGGCGATTGCCGAATATTTTGAGCCACTGCGCGTTTGGCTGGAGGCGGAGAATATCAAGAACAATGTCCACATTGGCTGGACCACTTCAGATAGTAAGTTTGGACTTCTTAAAAATTCCGAATAATTTTTAAATGTTATTTTTTCTTATTTCAGAATGTGTGTCTTAAGTGAATTGATTTTCGTGTTTTCACACACTTCTTTGCTCAATAAAGATTCATAATGCCTCACTGGTTACAATATATTATTCGTTTTTTTACTTTTAAATATTTTTATGCTTAAAAAAGGTTAAAAGATAATGGATCCTAAAAAAATCAAATATATATAATATATATAAAAATGTGTGGTAGAATTTAAATTTCTAAAAAGTCATACCTACTATACTTTTAATAGTTTTTTTAATAGTTTGTGTAACATTTATGATACAAAACAGGTAAAGCGTGTTTTAAGAATTTTCCGGATATTTTCCACATTAAATACGACTGATGGTTATAATTGTATGAACGAGTTATACAGAGACTTGGCGTTTCTAAACTACTGACTCAGTACTCGTTGTTGTGCTTGCTAAGTGGAACACATTATAATTACAAATGTCCAACTGGGCGCCCAGTCAGCCGCCAACTTGCTTCACTGACCGTGGATTGTAGTTGGCCCAAGTCAGTTGAGTTCGAGAGCTGCGCAAGCGCAGAACGTTTGATCAGGTTGGGCAAAAGTGCCGGGAATTTCAATGAGCTAATCAATTGAGTTGCGAAAGTGAATTGAGTAGAAAGTGTGGGAATATGTGGACTTGCTTAGTGGTTTTGGTAAGTCAATTTGGTTAGACTAGCTTGTATTTTATTTAGTTCATGGCAGGATTTACCCAGGCTAAATCCCCTCCTGACGCCACATTGGATACATTTTTGAATGACACCAATCAACAACTCGCTGTTATTTATGATCAGGCTGTGTTGGCTCAGTTGTTGAATGAGTTGCGTGGACCCAATGATTTGGTGGCACTATTGGAGATCGAGGTCACCGATGATAAGCTTATAAAATATGTGAAGAGTCTAACGACCCGTAAGGCCAAGTTCAAGCGGTTGGGTCTAGGGGATTCCCGCCAGCGGAGGCTTCTCGCCAAGTTTCCCCTACTGGGCTATGAGGCTCTGTCTCCTAGAGATTTAAAGCGGGTCTACGCACTGGCCTCCAATATGAGCGATAATTACCACAACGTCAAGTTGTGTGCATACAAACAGCCGGATAATTGCACTCTGCGACTCATACCACAGGTTCAATCGATAGTTCAAGGGAGCCGAGATCTGGACGAGATTGAGTATTACTGGTTTGAGTGGCGAAGGCGCACGGGTTTGGCCACCAGGTCTCAGTTCGTGGCCTTCATGGATCTGTATAAAAAGACCGCCCAGCTGAATGGATATGATCGTGCAGAGGACTATTGGTTCCGATCCTTGGAACTAAATGGTCAGGAGACCATGTCCTTGTTAGATAAAATAATGCATGGCTTGCGACCTTTGTTTCTGCAGTTTCACGCTCATGTCAGGGGTTCGTTGAGGAAGATGCATGGGGAAAGATTGGTCCCCAGGAACAGACCCTATCCCCAACATCTGGCAGAGGTCTTCATTGGTAATGCCTTCAGGCGGGTCCAGGCCGAATGGTATGTGGATTTGCCATCACCTGAGGCAGGTTTGGTCAATATCACCCAGGAGCTGCATCGTCGGGGATTGAGCACCACTCAAAGGGTATTCTGGAATGTGGCCGAGTACTTTAGAGCACTGGGTCTTCCCCAGTTGGAAAGGTAAGCTATGAAATATATACATATATTTTATCACATAAGCAATCTTTGCAGCTCCCTTTGGACATATGCTCAAAAAGTATCCTCCGATGACGACGATCGCTGTTGGCACAAAGCCTGGCGGTATTATGCCCTGCCCAGAACCAACTTTACCTACTGTCCCCTGAACGACGAGGAGCGTTTCTTCAACATGTTTGAGGCCCAGGCGGACCTGCACTACTATCGAGCTGCCTCCATTCAACCGACCTTACTTCAGGAGGAGCCCTTTCCCAATTTCAGTGATGCGATTGGCAAGTGTTTCTCCATGGCAGCCAGTTCACCGCGTTTTCTCCGAAAACTGGGATTATTAAAGGAGGGCAAATGGAAGGAGTTGCCAGCTCGCTTGAATCGCCTGTATGTTCAGGGCCTTCGGGTTGTGTTCCTCCTGCCCGTTTTCTACGTCCTGGATCGCTTTCGAATCGAAGTTCTAAGTGGACACATTAAGGCGGATGACAATGAGGCCTACTGGCGATTTACAGAGCACTATACAGGAGCAGCAGCTCCAACAAAAAGGACCAATGAACAGTTCGATGTGCCGGCCAAGCTGCTCATGGAGGTGGATGACCAGTATGCCAGGTAGGAATATTAAGACAGATTAAAATACTCTATATATTCATTTAAATACTCCATACTTTAGCCACATTCTGAGCATTGTGCTGCAGTTCCAATTGTTGGAACACTTCTGCACCAAAACAGGGCAGTTTGAAAAGGGAAATCCCAAGAAACCTTTGGATTTGTGCGATCTATCCGATCAGCGTGGCCTAGGAGAAATTCTCCAAAAGGCCATGTCCCTGGGATCTTCGGTTTACTACAGAGACGTTCTACAAGAGCTGGTTAATCAACCCGAAATCAGCATAGATGGCTTACTGACCTACTTTCAGCCTCTACAAGATTGGTTACAGCACCAAAATCAACAGAATAAACTCGATGTTGGTTGGTCATAAATTAGGTGTTGTTATATTCTGGGAATGTATAATATTTCTTCATTTTCTGGAAAGTATTCTGTGTATTGTTTATTTTGTTATAATAATAATTAAAATTATAATATAATATATAGTAAGTGCAAAACGTCCAAGTGTATGCTAGAAAATGTTTGTTCAACATTTGGTTTTATCAGCCTAAGAGTATACCACAAGCAAATCAGAAAATTAATGAACAATATGGCATTGAATTTATGTTCGAATGACCATTTTTAATTTACCCCAATTTAGTCAAAAGTTTGGACTCAAAATGTGTTTTGTAAAGTAATTGTAATTTTCAACCAACATTTGAGCCTCTTTGTTTCCGCCAATAATCCCAACGTCGTGTTTCGTGTTCATGTGAAATAGGTGTTTTTCGCAATGGCGTCCGAAGGCGTTTTTTCCTGTGAATTCGAGGTATTTGGAAAGGTGCAGGGCGTCAATTTCCGGCGGCACGCCTTGCGAAAGGCCAAGACGCTGGGACTCCGGGGATGGTGCATGAACTCTGGCAGAGGAACCGTGAAGGGCTACATCGAAGGTCGGCCCGCCGAGATGGACGTGATGAAGGAGTGGCTCCGGAACACGGGCAGCCCATTGTCCAGTGTCGAAAGGGTCGAATTCAGTTCTCTGAGGGAGCGCGATCGATATGGCTATACCAACTTTCACATCAAACCCGATCCGATCGAGGAGGCTCCCGAAAAAGGAAGACTAGGCAGTAGTTCAAGCAATACCGACTATTAGTGGATTTTGGCGGAACAATAAAATTTAAGGTCATCAAAAAAAGATAATTGTGTTAAGGTCAAAGGGAATGTTTGATATCTGGCTAGGAATTATTAAGCGCACACCATACCAAATCGTATTTATATTATTGAAAGTAACAACTATCGAGTAAGCAAAAAAACATATTTTAAGCAAATCTTAATCTGCATAAATCACAAGGAATTTGAATGGTTTGCAAAAATCCCTGAATTACTTATAGGAAGTGAATCTGGAATAGTCACAGTTCGGTGGGTTCCCATTCGATCTCAATCAGTCAACGCCTTCTTAATGATGATTAACTTTAACATAGTGACAGCATTGTTTACCTAAAATAACCGGAAATAATATAAGCCAAATGCAAAACATAAGCGAGCCCTGTAATTAAAATGCACTTTATTATAATAACTCTCGAGGGCTCTTCACTCAATAGCCACTTATTAAGACCATGCAAATAGTTGGAAAATAATTATAAAAATTTATTACAGTACGTGCTTGATGTGTGTCATGCTAAGCGGTTAGCGATTCGCTGGGCGTATTGACTTACTCAAACTATTCACTCGTGTAAATTAATTACTTACAGGCACTTTGTCGCTTTTTTTCCCACGGTTCTTGGCAGTCCAGAACTTGTATAAGATCGGGTATAGCCCAGTGCTAATAGAACTTCGACTGACCTTGACTGGTAATTAGCTTTTTGGCCGAAATATGGTTTTTGTTTTGGAGGGATCTGTTCCAGGTACAAATTTACGGAGCAGCCAACCACATCATAAAATGTCTAATATTTATGAGCTCATATCCGAGACAGATAGACTTCGCAGATCCCAATCTAATTACTGCCTGAATCACATATCTCGCAATACATTAATATATTATATTCATTCTCATTTGTATGCCAGTTGATTGGCAATCAAGGCATCAATCAGCATGCCCAGTGATTCAATTCATTGGGGTGGAGAGTCATGCAACCCCAGTTAACACCTTTCTTTATCCATATCCATATCCCATTTCGATGTTCCCCAACGATCATTCATTCTAGACATGAGTCACAACTTTTTACATGCCTTCGGGTCAAGAGCGTTTGTGAAAAGTGCACATTCCTCAAGCGGGGGTGGAAAATATCAGAACTTAATTTCCTGCATTTTAATTACATTCGCCCTGATAATTAAAATAAAATATTCTCCTGATTACAAAAATTTTTAAGACTCATAGCTGAACTATTTATTTTTCAATAAGCAATTTCTACGGAAGCTTGGGGTATTAATTTAATTTAATACGTTTTCTATTAGCTACAGTATAAAAAAAAACTAAAAAAAAATGAATCCACAAAATTCTGACTCAACAAATAAAGAATTGTTAGGTATAATTTGTGTTTTGATTTTAAAAATATTCTGAATAATGAATATCACTGCTGGAGTACTATAACTATTAGTTGAATGGGTTGTGGAGCTAATGCAAAGCTTCAGAGGCATCAGAAGTCATTAGTTTCTGCCCATTAACCGGTGCTAAAATAGTGATTTGCACTTGCCGCTAGGTCGAGTTTCATGTGGAACGCATTCGCTGCAGCCGCATCAACTACACATGTTTTAACTATTTGCCTGCATGACTCAAAACACATTTTCCACATTTCTTTGGGTCAAGAGCAACAATAGAAACATTACAAATGCGGGTGGATGCCATGTATTTGTAAGTCGACGCTGATAGAGAGTTTAATCTAAGCATTGAGCAAATCAAATTGTTTATCGGCAATGACTTTAAATGGGTTTGCTGATTATAAGTCACTGATTTACATACTTTGTAGTATATTGTTATAGGAATCGAAAGCAGTTTGTAGGTAGTTTTTAATTTAATTTCATTCCTATATTTCTATGTTGTTTAATCTATATTTGCTTGCAAACGATGATAAAATTGATAGAACTTACAATTTTTCAATTGGAATTTTCTTTCTTTATATTGTTTTTATTTAATATGAAGTTAATTGTTTAGCAAGTGTCAAACGACACTATATTCCAACTTCTAACTCATTTCGAGTGAGTTGCAACCCCAGGCAGTCCACTCAAATACCGTGTACTTTCTCACAGTCGACCATTATTAGTATGCGGTTGAGTTTTTCGCCTGATAAGTACACGAATACATACGTGGGGGCACCCTTACCCTCCCTTTTAATGGCCAACATGCATGGCAAAAACATTTACATACCGCTCACTCACACAATTGGGGAGCCAGCTCATTGTTGTTCCCAGGTTTATGGAAGATGCGATTGTAGTTGTTGTCGCTGGCAGTGCTAATTGCGATTATCTCACACGAATATACAAATATATAGAGAAGTTGGCGGCGACGTCAACTGCAACGACGACAGCGACTGCGTTCAAATTTGAATTCATTTTCGAGTCGAAAAAAAAGTGGCAAGTAATTTCGAAAAAAATTCTTACTGTCTAGTCAGTAGAGTTTTAGACGCGTTACCTGACGCTACGTGGGCGGTACTAAAAAGCGATCATAAGGAAGGAAATCGTGTGTTAAGTGAAAGTGAAAACGGAAAACGATTCAATTGTAGCAAGAGTTCTTAATTTATAATGAAGATCGCAGAGAGATCTTACAAAAATATATAACGAAATAATCATAGAATTGTGTAATCTTGTGTGCTAAATATACTGCCAGTGGCTGACAATTAAAATATTTAATTGCTTGTGAAAGAGTTAATAACTAAGCTGTCAGCAGTGACCTTGGCAGTGTGGAATATAGATCTTAAGATAAACGCAATGCACAGTGTTTCGGTTTTAAGTTGTCTTTGCCTCAGCCTGAGTTTAAGCCGAGCCAATCCCCAGTTGAATCTGCCCACCCCCCAACCGGAGGTCTTCTACAATGGATACACCCCGAATGTGGCCACCACCCCCGCCCAACTTCGAGCGGATCGGGATCGCGATCAGCGCTATGGACCCCCATACTCCGATGAGGGAAGGGCTGGCAACACCGACGATGGATTGGACGATTTTAGGGTGGGGCTTGCAAACTGGAATTAATTACATCTAAAACCAAGAATAATTTTACTTTAAACAATCGCAATTAAATACTTTACATGTGAAAGGCATTAAAGCTTATGTTCTCCAACATAAGAAACGATTTATTTATTTATTACGCTTCTTCATAGTTTCCAAATGGTTTTAAGAGAGTAATAATTACTTCTTTTTTTTATCAAAAATTAAAAAATAGTTAGGAAAGCTTTTTAAAAATTAAATAACATATTCTTGGTATTAGAAGGGGTTTCTCTCAGTGCCCGAGTGTCAACTTAACCCTTGACCTTTCGCTTGCAGTATGGCCAGACAAATGACGAACGCATGAGGATCGGCTATTCGTATCCCTCGCCCCGCATGAACTTCAGTGACTCACCGTTTAGTGGGGATGGGTATTCCAACCACAACTATGGACCCATTTCCAGTACCACCGAACGTAGCTACGGCAATGATCCCAACCTGAATAATCGCTATTCGGATGTGCCCTTTTCCACACAAGGAGAACGTAACTTCAATACCAACGATCAGTATAATTACAATAATAATCCGAATGTGGAGTTTGTGGGCATCAACAATCGCAATCGTTTCGAGAATCCCTTTCTTCCGAATCAGGATCGGTTCAACCTGAATCAAGGTTATCAGGAACGTCAGCGATATCAGCAGGACCGTCGTTATCAGCAGGAACTGGAGAAGCTGCGCATCCTGCTCGTGGAATCCGATCAGAAAGGATCTCTGGAGTGCACCGCCAACGTGGCTGCTCAGTGGAATTTCGAGACAAACGTCAACGATTTTACCCAAACGGAAGCGGTGAGTGAGCGGTTTCGGCCAAATACGAATACCAGTACTAGTATAGTACATCGCGTAATTGTGGTCGAACGGCACGCGATCTTTGCGGTGGTGGTGATGGTGCTGATGGTGGTGGTGCAGTTTTCTCATGGTTCGCTATGGTAGTTTTCTTACTCACGCACACTCGGATAAGTCAGAAAAGTCGCATTCTGAAGGTCGAATCGCCTTGTCAGATTCCCAGGCAGACATGCCAATGTCAAAGCACTGCAGTCTCTATGTTTTCCCAACAGTTCTGTGTGTGGACTAATCGGTGCTCGAAGGTAGAGATATGAGATGGCTTCATGTTTTATGGCAATGCTACTCTAAAAGTCCGGTTTCTATATCTTAAGTTTTTCATTTTCGTTTAGCAAGACATCAAAATTTAGATAAAAGCTAACGTTTCCGCTTTACATGTTGAAATAATAATTATATTTTTAAAATTGTTTGTTTATAAACAAAAAAGAAAAGATAACATTTATAAGTAACTCGATTCGCTGAAACGTTCATACATATTCGCTTAGCGATATATATTTGCTTAAGATATATAAAAAATTTAAAAATAAAATAAATAAATAAAATTCAATATAAGACTCAAACAGATTGAAATATTTATTATACATTATTTAATAAAGATATGAATAGTTTTTACTTATAGTTTTATTTATTATATATTATTTTATATTTTATATATAGTTTTATTTATATTTTTATTTATAACCATCAGCTAAATGCTCAACAGAGATATGTTGAGTTTCAGCGCATCACTGCCGAACAATCCAAGCGGATCAACAAGGATCTCATCTTTGATCGTCGCTTGTATAGACAACTGATGCTGCAGTCGGAAGTGGGACCCAATGCTTTGCCCCTGGATGTTTTGGATAGGGTGAGATCGATTAAAATTTCCATTAAAAACAATTGTTCTAAATAATAGGCTTCCATAGTATAACCGCCTGCTGAATGAGATGCTGTTTCTGTACAACAGCGCCGGAATTTGTGCTTACCAGCAGCCCTTCCAGTGCGATCTTCACTATATTCCCCAGCTGAAGGACATAATGGCCAAGAGCAGAGATTGGGATGAGTTGCAGCACACTTGGGTGGAGTACCACAGGAAGGCGGGACGTGGGATGCGAGATAGTTATGAGCAGCTGATCGATGTGATGCAGGATGTGGCATACGTGAACAGTAA